CCCTCTCCCTACACTGGTCCTACTGGAGGTCTTGCTGAGCGTTTAGAGCGTGCGTCTCGTCCTGAGTCGTCTGTACGTGCTGCTCGCACCAATCGTCGTGCTCCGCGTCCGCATCCTCTTGCGGTCCCAGGCACACACCAGATGGCATTGCGTTCTTCCTCTACTTCTCTGCGTGTCTCGTTGCCGTCTCCTCGAGAGTCCTCTCTTCCTGTTCTTGCTGACCCGGAGTCTGACTCTCTTCGTGCTGCCAGACGGTCGTTTTGCTGCAGCGTTGGCACGCCGTCAACCGGCTTTGTTCAACTGCTTGGTTGCTAGGCAATGATGTAGTCGTTCTTGCTATTGCTATTGCTATCATTCTGTACTTTCAACTTTGCTAGTGAAACTCTTGCCAATTCTTTGTGTAAATGCGCAAGTTGGGACGATCACTCCTAGAACTTGTGCCAACCCCGTAGTCTAGCTCCCACCGTTGAAGAGACGATACATGTGACACTGATTCCGAGCACGAACATATTGTGTCCAACGCAGCTTGGCACTCACAGCCAGAATGAACACAAAAATGTTAGGGTCCAATAGCCATGCGTTCGACCCGAACACTAATAGCAAACAAAATAACCTGTTCATTTCGACACTAACATATTTGAGTCGATTTGAACAGGTGTTTGACCATATGCTCAAGCCTTATTGCATACTCCATCGCAGGCGTATATCCGAAAAATCCCCACTCCCCACTCCCCCCTCCCCCCCCCCCCCCCTCTCCCCTCTCCCTCCCCCCCCCCCCTCTCCCCTCTCCCCCCCCTCTCCCCTCTCCCTCCCCCCCCCCCCCCCGTCCCTTTCCCCTTCTCCTCCCTGACAAGAGCGTATTTGCCAACATACGGCCCGATCAAGCTTGGGTAAAATTGAACCGATGGCAAATAGGTGAATTTGGCTGTTGTTTCTCGAGTAAAAAAAATCTGGATTTTTTTCTCTCTTCTTAACGTAATAAGCATGTCCACTTCCAACAAAACAAGCACAATCGAACACCTGTTTGAGCAAACCGAACATGTTTGGTTTGACTCAAACAGTTTCTAAGACATGGGTCTTTCAACAGGCAAGGTGGGCAGATAACATACAGTATATCCTTATAGGGTTACCAGCTTTGACAGCAATCCAATTCCAGTGGAGATGGAGCTCGTGAGCTTGTTGCTCGCGAGAGAACTGTCCGAGACAGCAAGACGAGGGAGGTGAGGAGGAAGGTGAGACGGTGATAATAGCATGACACTAGACTTGAGGAAGGATTAAACAGTTTGGCCCAGTTTGAACGTCACCAGCCTGATCGCACATTCAGCCATTGGCGGTTCGTAACAAGCTACCCTGAGTTTGGCCTAATCACATTCGCTGTAATCGCATTTTCCAGAATATTGTTTTCTTGTCAACGATGTTTCAGTGGGTAAATGAAAATAAGAGAATGTCGTACAAAACACAAAGAATCACCATCGTTAGAAAGGTCCCCAGCTTGTTTTGTGCCGGTCTTGCCCTGGCTCGGCCCTTGCTCATGCCTAACTAGTGATCCTGCAAAAAACTCCACACTCTGTAATGGTTTCTCTCAAAGGAAGAGAATACAACGGATCTTTATTGAGTATGATATTCTCCGCAGGTCGATCAGGACCTTTGGAAACTTGGAACCAAATTACAAGTAAGTAAGAGCAGTGAGCTTCGTGATCGAGGAGGGCACCGATCCAGACAGCATGTTAAAGTGGAGAGAGTTGTTGGTGGTGTAGGGGTTGGACGCATCGAAAGAAAGAATTCGAGTCCATTTGTGTGTTTGCAGGACAGGATAGCAGCGGGAATGGAGGGAGTCACAAAAACGAAATATAGAGGCAAAGGAGGGATAGTAGGGAGTACACGGTAGCATAAGTCTGAGCCGACGGATGAGCTTGTCGAATCAGCTCGTCAGCAGCGCGAGGTGGGCCAATTATCCTGCTCCGCAGGCTCAGGGGCTGGCTTGCCGAGCCACGCTCGTCAGACGCCTAGCAGTCAGGTCGTCGAGTAGTCTGCACGTCGGTTCAAGAGTAGTCTGATCATCGCCGATCCTTGACTGGCTTGACGGACGAGCCACCAGCGGAGTCAAGTGGAGTGGAATCTCCAGCCAGCTTGTTAGCCTGTTTGTCTGGCTTAAGTCGAGCCTGCTCAACCCAGACTTATGTTCATGTGGCAAAGAGGAGCCTTACAGGGATGCCAGAGATAGTAGAGAGCCAATTTCCACAGGGATTGAACCCGTGAGCTGATTGCTCCTAAGGGACCTGCCATTGCGTACAAATGCAAGCACCCGACCGGCAGGTGGGGTTTTATTGAGAACAAGCACATGGTCAGTGACCCGTGTGAGACGGAGGAAGGAGGGATGTTTCCATCACGACAAGCCTTTAGGATGATGCACCACTATGAGGAGAGGAATGCTGGTGGTCTCTTTATGAAAATGCTTTATGACATGGTGGAATAAAATTCACGACGACCCAACATGCTCTATGGTTTGTAATATGACACACTTCTGGTCAAACCTTCCACTCATCGCCTAACTTCCATGGTTCCTACACTAGCACTCTGTTAGTAGGGCCTACCACTTGTGCATTGGGTCGACCCCACCCAACCCGACCTGGTTTGGTTTGGCCGAGGGGGATTTGGGCCGGATCGGGTTGGGTGGGATCGACCCTGCCACCTACGACCGGCCTGGACTTGTTGGGGTTGGGTTGTGTGTGACCCGAAACCGGGTCGGGTCAACCCAACCTACGTTGGCATATATGTGTTTCTTGTACAAAATGCAAACGTATGTAAGCTATTTCACGGTCCATTTTGGATATACACAATTAATTGCTGGAGCTGGCAGAAACAACAAAACTTCAGGCGATGGTGGGGAGGGAAACAAGGATACAAATTTCCCACAATTTCCATAGATACATCTCCACTACCCTCCACCCTGCCCACTGGCCAGCCATATAGCTTTTCCACCACCATCCCTTCCACTATATTATACTCGTCCTCCTTCTCATCCACCCTGTACCATTGTGGAATAGGGACATCCAGGATATTCCCTGTCACAACCACAGTGCCCCCATCCTTGTTGTGCTAGTTCCGCACTACATTCCAGTTGTGTACAACATACACAAGGTGCGTACAGTTTGGCGGAACCAAGTTGGTTGCGCCTAGTTACGCTCACATGAGGACACGGAGGCCCAATGAGTGAGCACTTGGACTGAAAATATATTTCCAAGTTTGTTATTTTCACCACGGGCTGCCCCACAGTGTTTTAGCGATTTTGAAGCGCACTTGCAAATTGAATTTAAGCCCAAGGTCAGCATGGAAAAGCGTTTTCTGTTTATAATGCTTTGACTACTAGTTTACGAGTAGCGAGAACTGTATTCGTTGAGCCCCCACTGGCGAAGCAACACACATGGTTGTCACACATGTTTGGGGTCGACAAGAGGCGCTTTGGCGACCAGCATGCGGCCCGTCAGAGGCCAATGAGCCGAAGCCACTCAGGATGGTGGAATTGCTCAAGGAGGAAACGAGCACAAGCAACGCAACCAATCACAGAAGAGAAAACAAAAATACGGGGGGATACAACTCGGTGATGGGGTGAAAAAAGTATGGAGTGTGGTTGGTAGAATGAACGTGCAACATCAACCACAAACTGTCAAATGACGATCTCGAGTGAGCATCGATCAAAGTCACCAGCTGTATGCACGACTACCAACCGTGAGACAGAGACAAGACAGGAGGATACATCAATAATGCGCAACGCGCCAGCCGTTTATACCGCGTCGCAGGAGAAGGTAACAGCCGTGTTCCCAGCCGTGTAGTCAGACAAACGAATTGGCGAGAGCGAGCACGAGATAGATGGACAGAAAACAGGACCTGCTCTGCGGACAGAAGGTTTAGCGTCATACACGTTCATACGAGCCTTGCCCCTTGCGCCCGCACCTCATCTAGACAAACACTGTGCCATCAATCGGCCAGTGCCAAGGATTCGGCCTAGTGTCCTCGCGGTTGGGGTGACGGACAGGGGAAGTTGCGTCCTAGAGCTAGAGACGGAGCGTGGAAGGGGGAACAACGGCAAAACGCGCGTACACAAACATCAGGGACAGACAACGTTTGCAAATCGCAAGGACAATCGGGGAGCGGTAAGGGAAGGGAGGGATATCCGTTAAGGGAAGCGTGGATGCCATGCGCCACCGCGTGGGGAGTTAGCAGAACTGAAAGCTGATGGGAGCCACAGCCATGAATTCACAACAGCTGTGGTTTCAGAGTACGCTCACACGTGAGCTTCCACACGTCGCAGTGGTTTGGCAAATGCGACATAACACGCATGGCAGGGCCGAAGCAGTCCTTGTTGTGAATGTGGGACGTCAAGAGTCGAGGAAGCAAAACCGGGATAAAACATGTGTTCGTGTGTAGCTGGAACTACCAAGCGCTCCGCATGTGATGTCTCTCTGCCGCCACAGAAACATGCGTCACAGCCCCACTTGGATCTTTGTCCGCGTCACTGCTGTTGCTCTCAGCGCTTGAGAGGATGTGCTGCAAATGTCAGGGCATCTGATTACTACGCTGCTTCTAAGCATGCATAAGCATCCTGGTAGGCACAGCAGCACAAGGGGGTCACACCCTTTGCATTTTCCAAACCTCTAGCTATCTGAAGAGCGTCTCGCTGCCGTTGGATCTTACTTCTCTCTCATTCCTGTCCCATTTTCCAGGTATCCGAAGGACGTGTTGCGCCAGCAATTACACTACTGTCATGGACAGTCATCCATCCATCTAGGCGGTGGCGAGAACAGAGCGACGAGGAGCTGCTGCCTAGGCAGGTCAGTTCTCAACCAACCATCCCTCTCTAGTGCCCCTTGCTTAGCAGTGCGAGGTGCTGATTCATTGGTTGAGTCATTTGCAGGGCACATCATCACCTGTTCCCATCCCCCTCCCTGCTTTTCCCCATCCCCGCACCTGCTTCCACCCATCCCCTTCCCTGCTTCCCCATGTCCCCTTCCATGCTTCCCCCCTCCTCTACCGTTCTTCCCCCCTTTCCCTTTACCTGCTTCCCCCCATTCCCTTCCTTGCTTCCCCCCCTCCCCTCCCCTGCTTTCCCCCAGTCCCCTTCCATGCTTCCCCTTGTCCCCTTCCCTGCTTTCCCATGTCCCGTTCTCTGCTTTCCCCCCATCCCCTTCCCTGCTTTCCCCCATCCCCTACACTGCTGCTTCCCCCCGTCCCCTTACCTGCTTAGAGTCAAACCCTTCCCAGCTTCCTCCCCTCTCCTTCCCTGCCTTCCTCAATCCCCTTCCCTACTTCCCCTTGTCCCCTTCCCTGCTTTCCCTTACCCCTTCCCTGCTTTCCCATGTCCCCTTCCCTGCTCCCCCCTCCCCCCTTCCGTGCATACCCCCTTCTTCTTACCTGCTTCCCCCCATCCCCCACCCTTCTTCCCCCTCCTCCCCTCCCCTACTTTCCCCCATCCCCTTCCCTGCTTACCCCCCTCCCCTTCCGTGCTTCTCCCTATCCCCTTCTTTGCTTCCGCATGTCCCCTTCCCTGCAATTCCCCCTATCCCCTTCCCTGCTTTTCCCCATCCCCTTCCCTGATTTCCCCCATCCCCTTCCCTGCTTCCACCCATCCCCTTCCATGCTTCCCCATGTCCCCCTTCTGCGCATCCCCCCTTCTTCTTACCTGCTTCCCCCCATCCACCACCCTTCTTCCCCCCCTCCCCTCCCCTGCTTTCCCCCATCCCCTTTCCCCCCCTCCCCTTCCCTGCTTCTCCCTATCCCCTTCCCTGCTTCCGCATGTCCCCTTCCCTGCTTTTCCCCATCCCCTTCCCTGCATCCCCATGTCCCCTTCCTTGCTTTCCCCTATCCCCTTCCCTGCTTCCCCCCCCTCCCCTTTCATCCTTCTCCCTATCCCCTTCCCTGCTTCCGCATGTCCCCTTCCCTGCTTTTCCCCCTATCCCCTCTTCTGCTTTCCCCCATCCTCTTCCCTGCTTCCACCCATCCCCCCCTCCTGCTTTTCCCCATCCCCTTCCCTGCTTCCACCCATCCCTTTTCCTGCTCCCCCATGTCCCCCTCCTTGCTTCCCCCCATCCCTTTCCCTGCTTCCCCCCCTCCCCTTCCTTCCCTCCCCCCATCCCCTGCCCTGCTTCCCCATCACACCCTTCACTGCTTCCCTCCATCCCCATCCCTGCTTCCCTTCCCCACTTCCCCATGTCCCCTTCCCTGCTCCCCCCCTTATCCCGTTCCCTGCTTCAGTCGTTGCGAGGAGTTTGTAGCTGGTTTTATATTTATACGGCTTTCTCGGGCACAACAGCTCAACGCACCGCTCCCTTGGTAGGTCAGTGATCATCCCGGCTTCCCTCTTACGCAACAACTCCCTGTTCTTGGCTCTGTCACCCCTGCACTTTAGTTTTTTGTGCACCACCCATATCAGGGAGCCTCCTGAGCAGCAGCACTTTCTGCGCCCGCCATATCTCTTCATATTTGAGTCATCTGTGTGGTAACATGGTTGTTTACGAATTCATATTCAGGAATCTTGAACTTGAACTAAGCCATGTGGTACTCGGGCTTTAAGCAAACCCAGAAATGTGCATATTTGTCGTGTAGAAAGAAGAAGTGTTGCTGTCAGCATTGTACTCTCGTTAGTTAGTATCTCGCTTCCACTGTCACATCCTCCTTGCTCCACTCTACATGTGCACTATGCATACGTGGGTGGTAAATATCAGCAAAAGCGCAACAATTTGAATCTCGACAGAGTATTCGTGTCTACACGAGAGCTGAGGATCGAAAAACGCACAATAATGGCACGAATCCTGGGTATTCCAACCTTGTTCGAACGTGTTTGAGGTGTTTGCATAGAATGGAGACATAAATTTCATTCAAGGAAAAACTTTTCGAGTACAATGCGGAGAGCCTGAACCATATAGGAACAACGTAAAGAGGGAGAATGTTAATGGAGAAGGTTGTTCAGCTACTCCAGCATGTTAGTTGTCAGATCAGCAACGGCATGTGAAAATACAATCAGAAGTATCTCGTATGTAACTAGGAATAGTTGTTCAGGTTCTGCAACATAGGCAGTTACACACACTTTGTTTGTGCAGTATATAATTTTATTTAGTTTGGTTCAGATTTTCTGAGAAGAAGGCGCAATGTTGAGGAGAAAGTGCAAAATCCCAAAATTCCCCTGCAAAAATTTCCGCGCTTTTGCCACATTCTGGCGATATTAATCCTCTTCACGTGCTTCATTAAGATTGGCATTCTCTTACTCCATGAGAAGCCGATGTAGTTTGTCCATGTACGCTCACTGGTGCAATCACAACTTTCCCACGGCCCTATAGCGCACCATCTCCAACTCCAAGTACTTTTGCACGGGAGTGATTTGTGTGAAGCTCAACACGTTTTGCAACAGCTCGCACAAATCTTTCAAGAGTTCGAGGCTGCGACTCGCGGAGCGATCGTCCACATACATGAGCAGCCAGCAGCGTTCTTCGCCCATGCTCACCGTGAAGTAGAGCGCCCCAACAACTTTGCTCCTATCCCATCTGTGTTGAGGAGAAAGGGGTCATTGCCTCGTACCACAACAGCGGGTCTGTTTGAGCCCGTCTAAAATCTCAGGAATTTGCATACCCGGGCTGTGCCGACGTTGTAGTGCGCGGGATGTTCCAAGTACATCATGGCATCTAGCTTACCTTGCAAGAAAGGCATTTTTCATGTCCATATGCATGTGGTGTAAGTTATGTGCAGCATGGGACAGGAAGATGTGCATTGTCATGTAGCTGCTGACGGGTGCATGAGTTCTGTCATAGCCGGCTCCATAGGCTTGCGTGAATCATTTCACCCGCGTTTTTGCGAGCGACCGTATTGTCTGCCTTGTAACCCACCATTTCTTCATGACGTAGATGCCATGCGACCGAGCCACTTACTCCCGATTCCGTTTTGAGAACTCTGATTTTTTTGTCCAACGCTGCTACTGCTGCACCCTTCCAGCTAGTCTTGAGCAAACCGCATGGGGGGGGAGGGGGGGGGGGGGGGGGGGGGTCAAACAGATTCTCCCTCACCTGCCAGATGTTTTGTTGTTTCTGTCAGCTCCAGCAAATAATCGTGTATCTCCAAAATGGACCGCGAAATAGCATACATACGTTTGCATATTACACGAGAAATTCATATCTTCCAACGCAGGTCGGCTTGACCCGACCCGGTTTCGGATCACACCCGAACCAACCCCAAGAAGACCAGGCCGGGTCGTAGGCGGCAGGGTCGATCCGACCCGACCCGACCCGGCCCAAATCCCCCTCGGCCAAACTAGATCAGGTCGGGTTGGTTGGGGGCGACTCAATGCACAAGTCGTAGGCCCTATTAATAGAGTGCTAGGGTAGGAACCATGGAAGTTAGGCGATGAGTGGAAGGTTTGACCAGAAATGTGTCATATTACAAACCATACAGCAGGTTGGGTCGTGGTGAATCTTATTCCAACATGTTCACGTGCCTCCATCAGCACTCTCGGATCCAATGTGCTATCAGTTCTGTACCTTCCTAAATTGTAATGGTCAAATTACTTGAATAATAATTTTATATGCATCTGCTTTCTATCCTTTTAAACTCAGGGATGTTTCGATGAACCAGCTTTCAGGAAGCATTCCTGCTAGTGTCTGTGCTCTTACTCAAGCCACGTTTTTGTAAGTCGCACACAATTTGGCAAGAAGCTAAGTACTACCATGTAAGTCAGCCAATACCATCTTTTTCCAGAATAAGTCGACACACATGCTCACCGTATCAGTCAGCTAGATTGGTTTTCATAAGCTAGAAATATATGCGATGTCGGCAGGTACAACACAAGTAAGCATGAGCACGAAGTCTGGTCTAAGGAGGAGAAGGATGCCGCCTTCTGGCCCGTGTGACCGCTGGTGGCGGTTATTACGATATCTGTCCTGGTCATTCCACCCACTCTTCGATAGGCTGACCCAGATCCGATTTGTCATGGATGAATGTAGAATTTTGCATGGTTTAGCCAATTCTCTTGAATCTGGAATTAACGTGCCTACCGACGATGCAAGAAAGCAATGCAGCGGAGAGGAAAACTGAGAGAAAGGAATTCTCAGCAGGAAATGACAAAGCGCCATAGGACAAACTGGGCTGGAGAATCTGCTCATGCGTACTATGCAGTCGTCGTACGGTATTCCTTTTTGGCCCGCACTATTTGGTGAAAAACATGAGTATTCTAGCTTTCCTGCTTTCTTCTTCGTCTTGGCATCGCACTCCTTGTTCCTCCATGCAAGAGTCTCTACAACAATCAGCTCAATGACTCCACTTCTGCTGAGATTGGTAACATGACCAAACTAGTAATCTTGTAAGCTTGTCAAACTATCCTGCTTGGTTCTCCCTGTTCATATGCTAGAGGCGCCTTTTTTTTTTCACGCTTTGGTGTGAGGTGAAATCGGGTCAGGTTTCGACTTGAACCAGTTGATGTTGAAGCTGTGAATGTCGTGCATTGCATCAAGTGGTTCAGCACGTCAAATGGGCAGCACATTGACTGGGAGGGACCTATTCGGTTTCGGACCACCTGTGTGTTCTCTTGTTCGGTCGAACCTAACCAGCACCGGGCACAGTTTTTTGTCTAATATAGATTAGCCCCACCATCAGATCCAAATGGTTTGCGACATGATTGTTGGAATTTTATATGTTTTCCTACTCTGAATAAAGGTTCTTTCTTTTATCACACATGTGCAACAGCCGAACCTGAACCTGCTCAGTTCTTGCCCATTCATCGAACCATGACCAGCTTGACCCGAACCTAAACGGGTTCAGGTCGAACAGGCTTGTGACCCAACCAGTCAAACTGGTATGGTTCGGCCCATAAGGGTTGAACCCACAGACCGCATGCTCACATAATGCAATCAGGGTATGTGTCGCAGCGGGTTGTCCACTGGAGAGGTCAGTCTTAGGATGCTGAGATTGGAGAATTTGATGTAGGTAGAGGGAGTTGGACTCACTGCGGTTGGGGGAAGTAAACGACTTGAAAAAGGATTTAGGGATCAGAAACTAGAAATGTTGCCATGAAACCTGCGTGACAAAATATTTGTGTGGTCTCCTTAGTTTCCATTCCACACCCACTCTTACTTCCTCCTAGCTTCATCTACCTTCGTACTATGGATTCGTGGGTGGTAAACATCTGCAAAGCATAACACAATGAAGTAGACATGAGCAATGGTCGAACTTGAACATCGAGCATCTGTCACTATCAACTCGAACTCGAACAGTCGGACTCGAACCTATTATTCCCAAGAGCAGGTTCGGCTGTGGTGACTTCAGGTTCATCGTAAGTTCGTTTATTTGGGCCCCATTCACCATAGCCACATGTAGGGATGAGCAAGGGGCGAACACGAACGTGTTTGCCTCGAACCGAACAGGTGTTCGTTTCTTTGCTCAACCCTAGTCACATGGGTTCGAGAGGGTTTCAGGGCTAGCGACCTTGAACATGTTCGAGTCGAGCCAAACAGGAATTCGATATTTTGCTCATGTCTAAAAATCTGTTGAGTATCCGAGTCTATGCGAGAGCCAAGGAACGAACGACGCACAATAGGAGTGAGGCTCATTTGTTTTTTTTTTTTTTTTAATTCAACATTCTTGAAACGTGTTTGAAGTGTTCACATAGAATGAAATAGAAGTTAAACAGAAGGAAAAAGAGTAGAGTACAATGAAGAGAGCATAACCATATAGGAAGCATGAACCCCTCCGCAATGTTGGGCTCACCTCTTCCAAACATCTGTTGAAGCACACGTTTCTAGCCGAGCTAACGTTTTTCACCCACTGGATAGAGCGCACACCTCTGATTATGGCACGCAATACGCCATTGGAAATTAGACACCTAGGGGTATGCTTTGTCCAATCTGGAGCTGACATCGTTATGAATAGAGCGGTTTCAAGTTGTCAGCTTCTGTTTAGCCGGTTTCATGGGCAACCGCAGCCCCTAAGTGGACTTTTGACTATAACGGGCTCAGGCCGGCCAACCGAGATTAAGGAATTCCCAGGTGGACACTTGATGAACCGGCATGGGCCGAATGGGATGGAGAATTTCTCATCCGTACAGTAAAATCCCTGTATCCCTATCTGCCGGCACTATTTGGTGACCGACAATAATATTCTAGCTCTCCTCTTCCTCCTCCCTGTTGGCATCGCACTCCTTGTTCCTCCACGCAGGATTCTCTGTAGCAATCGGCTCTCCGACTCCATTCCTGCTGAGATTGGTAACTTGACAAAACTGGTACTCCTGTAAGCCCATCAAATTCTCCTGCTTGGTTCTCCCTGTTCATACGCTAGAGGTGAGCAAAACGCGAACACGGGGCAAACCGGGCAGGGTCCGACTTGACCCGGTCGATATTCCAGCTGTGAATGTCATGCATTGCATCGACGATCTGGTTCAGCACATCCAACGGGCAACGCTTCGAC